AAAGGCTTTCGCCAGTTCAGAACTATAATTTCACGTTGTTGTGTTGAAAAATATGATGTATTACTATAGTGGTTGCAATAGTGGTTGCGGCATTTCAGAGTTGGGATGGTTCGCCAAGCAATATTCCTCACTAAAAACGAGCTCCTTCGTATTACCGTCGTGCCTATCTCTGATCTCCGTACGCAGCCATGTTCAGCGATAGGAAACGTGTCGAGGTCAGCTTCCATCGTCGTTATGCTAGCAGCTAGCATTATGCTATTCTCCTGCTTATCACCGAGGACATACATCATACTTTTGAAGTTGATCACTTGAGAAGGCAGAATTCTCGACACGGCGGACGGTAAGTACTGTAATGTAGGCTGACACTGTGGTGCAGATTGTCGGCACTTGCTTTACAGATGGCATTCTATCAGCATAAGCGTAACGTAGGTCAGTGACTATAAAGGTGCCGGTGCGACATGTTCGGAAACCTCGTCTGTGGTCATACATTGCTACACTCAAGGCTCACTACTGGCGGGGATCTGCGATGCAACAGGCGACTAACCTCAGCTGCATCCTAGAGGACTACGACTGCCGTCCCTATCCTCCTATTTAAAGCCAGGTGTAACGGCTAGTGACTAGTGGAACAATGTTCTTGTGCTGAACGGCTGAGCTGCAGCATGTTGGTGACGCTAGTTAGCCACTATGTGTTTTGTTAAGACACTAGAGAGAAGGCATGTACTGCGCTAGCTGACATTAGGAAAAGTCTCGTGTGTTCAGTTCCGCATCCGGTTCCGCATTTCCGGTAGTTCCGCGCTGAACTCCGCATTTACATCCTGCTTTGTCCACACAGTGAGTAACCTGTTTCACCAGCGAGCGGCCTACCCTACCAAGCGGCCTAGTTCCCCTACCAACACGCGTACCTAGCAACAACACGTAATGTCTCAACAACCACAACCTCTCAAGGCTTATACTGAAGCTGATGTGCAGCTTGCCCTCTTAGACGTTAAACGTAACCAAATTCCAAGCCTGCGGCGTGCGGAGGCAGTCTACAAAGTCCCAAAGACGACGATACGACGGCGACGCGACGGGAAGCCCTCTAGACGCGACTGCGAGCCAAACTCAAAGAGCCTGACGAAGCTAGAAGAGGAGGTGATTGTACAACGTATACTTGATGAGAATCTGCGTGGAGTACCGCCCTCGAAGCTACACGTACGAGATATGGCTGATAGATTGCTGCGCGATCGCGGCGTCAAGTCTGTTGGCAAGAACTGGGTTGACAGGTTTATCCAGCGTACACCTGAGCTGCGCACGCGCTGGAGCCGTCCATACGATCGCCAGCGAGCTCTCTGCGAGGACCCAGCAATCATTGAGCCCTGGTTCATGCTGGTTCAGAACATGAAGGCGAAGTACGGCATTATAGACAACGACATGTACAACTTTGACGAGTCTGGCTTCCTGATGGGCAAGATATCGTCGCAACTCGTAGTAACAGGCATAGACAAGCCTGGGAAAGCAAAGAAGCTTTAGCCTAGTGATTGCGAGTAGACTACGTTGATACAGGGAGTCAGCGCAATAGGGCGCGTTATCCTACCCTTCCTCATCTTTGCTAGCAAGGTTCTTATCTCTAACTAGTTCACTAAGGACCTCCTACGCAACTAGGTTATTTAAGTAAGCCTAACAGGCTGGACAAACAACGATCTAGCGCTTGCTTGGCTTAAACACTTTAAAACGCATGCGAGGCCTGTAGGAGCGTACAGGCTGCTTATTATTGACGGCCACGAGAGCTATTGCTTAATAGATTTTCAGGATCGCTGCAAGGAGAAAAAGATTATCGCCCTCTGTATGCCTCCACATTCGTCGCACCTCCTGCAGCCGCTTAACATTGCCTGCTTCTCGCCGTTAAAGCGCGCGTACGGCGATGAGATCTCAGCCTTAGCACGCGATCGCATCTACCACATTAACAAACAGACCTTCTTACCAGCCTTTAAAGTAGCTTTTAAGAAGGCATTTACAAGAGAGAATGCTTGCGCAGGGTTTCGAGGCGCTGGATTGTGTCCACATGATCTACAAGCCGTGTTATCAAAGCTGGATGTGCAGCTGCGTACGCAAACTCCACCACAGCAAGATGACGCCGCTTAGGAGGCGAAAACACCGCGCAACGCCAAAGAAATGGAGGCGCAATCAACGCTAATTCGAAATAAAATGCAAATCCATCGAGGGTCTCCAGCAAGTTCACTTGACGAGCAGGTGCGATAGCTAACAAAAGGCGCGCAGCAGATAGCTTATGAGATGGTGTTAATGCGCGCAGAGATGGGGCGCCTTTGAGACGTAACAGAGACGCTTACTAAGCGTAAGAGTCGCAAGAGACGCTACGTACGGGCAGAGGAGACACTAACAGTTAGCGAGGTATTAGACTTAATTGCTAAAAAGGAGGGTAGCAGTCGTAAGGAGGGTAAGGAGCCAGCGAAGAGGGTGCGCGCAGGGCGACGCTGCGGCCGTTGCGGCAAGATTGGGCATAACTCTCGTACGTGCAAGGTAGAAATTGAGGATGCGAATGATAGCGACGCTTCTGAATAATACTATACTGTTGCAAGAGTATAAAAATTGTGTTGTGGTGCTAAGCTACGTTGCTGCGCGAACGCTTTGCTGGTGTTTGTAGGCCGCTCGCTGGGGTAGGCCGCTCGCTGGTGAAACAGGTTATTCCTTTTATCTATTAGAATAACGTGCCCCACTATCGAGATGCGCATACCATCGAAATGCGCACGAAATACAGCAATCCATGTTCGCATGCGAATAACTTAACACTACAACAAGCTATCTACGCGTTTAATAGCTAGAATTAATCCTCTACTTCTGCTGCATATTTCTTGCATGTGCGCTTATTATGTCCTGCCTCGCTGCAGTTCTTGCAGCGTCGGATACCTCCTGCACTACTACCTGCGCGCACCCTCTCCTAACGCCTCTCCACCTCTAACTGGATCTTAACATCCCTTTGCTTAACTATATCCTCTGCCTCTGCCTGCGATAGGGTCACTCCCTTCTAGATTCGCTTTTTCTTGCGCTTTTTACGTTTAGATGCTGCCTGGTTTGCCTCGTCAAGGTTAGCTATTCTAGCCTTAAGCAACGTGTGTGAGTGCACCTTTAAAGTTGATCCCTTTTTGACCTGCAACACTATCTTAATGATAGAATTAGGTGATAATTCCTTGTGATCTGTTATCCTCTTGACAATTAGCGTTGTTTGAGCCTCTATCTCCTAGGCGTTGCTTAGTGTTTTAGGTTCCTAAGGGGTAGGCCCTAGTGCAGGTGGTGTTAGCGTACGAGGCTGTACTTTAAGCCTAGATAACACTACATCTGGGTTATGTGGGACTAGGCTAGTTGCTCGAAAGCTTGATAAGATATTGTTATTTGAGAACGCCTTGTTAAATATTGGCTTGAAGGCAGCTAGGAAGGCTTTCTTGTCGATGTGGTAGATGTGGCTGTCTGCTAAGTGTCAAGCAATAGAGTCTTTATAGATACGAGATGCACCGCGATAGTGGAAGTAGAGGTATATTGCCTTGTAAGACTAGAGACGAACCGCTGTCGAGCCACAACAGCGGTAAGGTAGGCTAATATACTGCGATTGCTTGGCATACCGGCCCGAACGGGCCCGGAGTAACCTGGTGCCTGACACTAAGCCCCTGACTTCCTTCTTGTACGCCTGCTTTAGCGGGGCAAAACAACCTACATTAAGTAGCTGTAGGATGTGCGATAAGTGTGGAGGCATGCAGAGGGTGATAATATTGCTTTCCTCACACGGATCCTGGAAGGCGAGCGACTTGTGGCTCTTATAGCTATTAATAATAAGCAGCCCGTAACTACCTATTGTGCGAGCCTCTGTATGCTGGATAAAGTGCTGCAGCTATGCAAGACCAAGCTCGTTTGTTGTCTAGCTATTCTTACTAACTCCTATCCTCTAATCTTTAGGGTTGTGATACTAGGCCTAGTTATAGTTCTTTGCCTTAAAGATAAAAAAGGGTAGGATGGACTACCCTATCGCGTTAATGCTAGCAATTAGCGTTACCTACTTACGATTACTAGACTGAACACTAAGTGGCTTAAGACGTCTCTTAGAGGCTGTTACTACCTTAACAGACCCTCTAACGCCTATCTGGAAGCTAGTCTTATTAAAATTATAGTGTCACGGCGCTGACCTAGATAGCCTATTAGAGCGCGCCAAGCTGCTAAGCGAGCAGCTGCGCGATCGCTGAAATTCCTGCGCGAACGCGCCCTGTCGTACGCTCCTTGAGCTACGTCCTTGTCTTAGCCTGACCCCGTACTATCAGCGATATCGTAGTGAATATACTGATCACGTGCACCTACCTTCCCTGCCTGCCGACCCCGTGACATATAGACGTCTTCGTCTAAGATCCTATACTTGGCCTTAACGTTGTGTACAAGATTGAACTAGGGCCTAATAATAGCTGGGTCGCTGCAGAGGACTCTCTGGTGATCCCGCTGTCTTGTTACCTAAGATTTGATCTTAGGTCTCCAGCGTATAAGCCTGTAGGTCTAGTTTTCTCTAACCTAGCCACTACTACGTGTAGCTAGTAGTTAGTTGGCCATTTCTCGCACATAGTTGAGCGTAGGGGGGAAGCCTCGCGCGTTAAGCTTTATTATATATTGTATAATCGCCTCCTCTTCATGTTTCTGGAGTTTTGATCGGTTGGGTTGAGTATCGCGTCGTGAAGCCTTCCCAGCGCGTCGATTGCGGAGAGTGCTTTCATGTATATCGTAGCGATGCGCGGCTTGTCGCTGGGTAAGCGACGCGTTAGATTTCATAGCTTGGATAGCCTGGATGACTATGTCTTCAGTAGAAAGCAGTTCAAGATTTGGTAGTTGAGACATTGTAATAGAGAGTTGAAAGTGGTGGGGGCTTGGCAGAGTGCGCATTTCGATGGTGTGCGCATCTCAATAGTGGGGCACGTTACATATTCGCAACAAATACTTTGGGAAGTGCTTCATGAATAAATTTCGCTGTTCTACCGATTCCCGGCTTGGCTGAATGCATGCTGCCCGGCCATCTCATGCACCGAATCATAACCTGGTAACTCGCTCGTCGTATGGCCTACAGGTGTAATATGATTGATTGTCGCACCTCCCGCAGGAACATTCGAGGCGTCTTTCTTGCTTGACGTCCACATCTGACCATCACCCGCAGTTGCAGGGTAGTCCCGCGATGGCAATTCTGCAGTCCCCACAAAAGCATGCTTCGGGTCTGCAAGAAAGCCACCTTGATCACGAAACACGGGCTTATCGTCATTCGTCGCTACGCCTACGGGTAAATTTCCCAAATTGTTGCGTCGAGCCTTGCGTCTCCAGTACATGACAGCGAGCACCAGGCCTGCAAGAACGATAGCCACAGCCGCGCATCCAGCTCCAATGCCCGCTTTGGCACCTATACTGAGCCGGGATGATTTTGCAGATAGCACTGCAGGTGTGTCGGAGGCACCTGGGGGCAGGCCACTCGCATTTTCGATGCTTGGAGTCTCCGAGATCCCGGTTGTTATAGTTGGCGTCGGAGTCGGACTCGAGGTAGCTGATCTCACGAGGCTCGTTGATAGCGCTGCAGGATTTACCTGTAGCTGAGTGTTACCTTACACTCCAAACAAGACAGTTCTGTTCAACTTACCGCATCTTGCTTCCAATACTGCCCCAAATAATTATTCTGACTCATGAAAGCACCATTGGTATCCGCATACACATCCAAGTACCACCCTGATCCCGTGTATTGATTGCTGAATTTGATAAATCCATTTCCTGCATTTATCACGCTCCATTGCTGGCCAGAGGAGTTGCCGTCTTCGGATAGATGCGGCACAGTCTTCTTGTCGCCCCAGACGTCCAGGCAGTAAGACTTGGATGTAATGGTCGTGCAGATTTTGACAAAAGTAGTGCTGGTGATGGGGAAGAACGTGAAGAGCAACGCAGGGTTGGCTGATGATGGCACAGCGCTAAGACTGAAACCCTGTGCTAATGGATCGATTTGTAGGTAGGAGGAACTGTAGTTGTTGAAAAGGTAGTAAGCAGTTGACATGGTGCTATGTGGTACTGAGCAGTAAAACACAGGTCGCAAACTGAAGCGGATCCAAGAAGTAGAAAGGTTTTAAGCGGTGTTATCAAGATCGCCACGCATAATCAAGCGTCGCAAGGCTAGTACCAACTATTAGCGATAATGCTTGCGTGAATTGCGAACGATTCGCTGGGGAAAAAACGTGGCGCGATCTCGATGCTTCGACGTGTTCAGCTGAACTTGGCGTCGAGCTGTGTGGCTGCGCGTGCGACCGGATCGAGGTTTTCTAGCAGCACACCAATGCGTTAGGCTGAAGGGGCCACACTAATTGCTGCACTTCCGCGGTAATCTTGCTTGTGGTGAACAACCGTATTGTTAGGTTTATACACAGTAGGCCCTGCATACCGTGCGTGACGGCCTAACGACCCCGACGGCCCAACGACCCACTTGAACACCAAAACAGCCTCACAAAATAGCTATTATCGCGATTTTTTTTAGTGGTGATATATGAAGGTCTTGATTGATGTATAGAGCTATTGATATCGTGTAGAAGGAGTAATGTTGCGGCTACGTCGTGACCTGAGAGCTGGTGCGCCTGCAGCAGCACGCTGAGGCTCTCCTCTACCTACGCGCCTCACAACAGCTCTATTTTTTGCAGTAGAATTTACAGGAGCCTTAGGACTGCGTTTCTTGCCCTTTTGAGAGGTTTTAAGAGCTTGCTGGAGTCGTCTTGCAGTCTTGCGAGCAGCTGCCCTAGAGGCCTGTTTAGCAACCTTCTTAGCCTTCTCCTTCTCCTTCACCAGCCTGGCTGCAGCCCTTGCCTGACGACTACTCTCTACCTCCCTTGCCTTCGCTTGCCTTGCCTCCTCACGAAGCCTGTTTGTCTCAGCCTTTTGGTGTTGTAGCTGCTCCTCCTCGCGCTCCTAAAGCTGCCGGCCAAAATGGGACCATATCTAGGCACAGCCTGTGATCGACATGTATTACTAAAACCCCTAAAGATAGGATGCAAAGTTAACGAATATAAGTGTGCCTAATATGAAGGGCTTGTCTGCCAATTTATAGCCTCTTTCCTATTGACTTAGCAAGCAACCATGTTGATAGGATCGCACAGCAGAGGTCTAATATTGGTGCAACTGCCATGGGTCCTATTCCGGTTCCTGCTCTCCCTCTTCTAGGCCCCGTTCTGACCCTGCGCCGGGGCTTCCTTATCGATAACGACACCGTCGCCCTGGATGCAATGCCTCGGCTTGGCACTACTACGCCTGCATTTTTCCACACAGCAGTTTGCAGCCACTCCTCGGATTAATACCCAAGAATCCAACGCCTCTAGCACAAGGGTGTGGCAGGTGCGGGTCGGCCGTCCTACTTGCATGGGGTGGCAACACTGGAAAAATATCTTTCAATACGGTTGTTTTTGCATATATGCCACTTGCATAACCAAGCACAACCTTGCCGCGGGGCTGCACATAGAATGCTCAGCCACAACAGCTACTCAGCTGCTCTGCCTATAGCTAGCACCCCGCACACCTTCTATCTAACTCCTCCCCATTTTTACAACAGGTTAGCCATTTGTAGCCTCTCTCTCGTGGCTTAAGGACTGCATTTTGTTAGTTTCCATCGTGTCTGTCGTCCACAAATAGCTTTCCCAAACTGCCCATTCTAGGCAATCACTCCGCACTCTCAGCCTTGCTTATTGTCCTTTGCACGTCTCACCGAGAACAGATCCTCGGTGAGATTGATGCGCTTTATTATTCTCCTCAATTTCGTTAATGATGTCGCAACTTATTGCATCGCGAGGTAGCGCGTAAGTACGCTATTCCAAGGTGTCACGGAGTGTCCGCTAACTGCTCTCGCACTAGCAACGACCTTTGGGCTCGAGCGGCAATAGCGTTATCCGACGACGACAAGCGAAACATAAACTTCAATCGCCCTGACAAGCTCGACATCCTCGTCGAACTACATACAGCTGCCGAACGATCCAGGCAAAGATCCGTGGAGTCTAGGTGGAAATATAGTCGCAAGAGTGGGGAGACCAGACATGGTAATACTAGTATATCAGTTCCAAAATGCTTATCCTGGTATACTAGTATTACCGAAATCCTTATACTAGTATACTAGTATATCATTTCTGATATCCTGATATCCTTGGCATTTTCTAGTGTCCAGCTACAAGACACAAATCGCCGTACAAATCGCGATTAAATCGATTAACCTCTACACTACTGCTACATCAATATCCATATTATCAACCGCGTCCTCATGCAAAACTACACCCCCAGTCCTGATATGGCGGTTGCGCAGCTAGTTGCCGATGCATTCAATAAGCTCAATGTTATCACAAGTTAGTCTCGATCTATCCCAACGTGTGGTTCGTCGAGCACCTAAGAATGTACGCTCTGGCTCTGCGGATTTCGGTGGGATCGAAAGTATATCCACAGCCATGCGGTGAAGTCGTGGATATCGCTGTCTTCGCTCCGGTTGACACCACCATTCTAGTGCTATACTGCCATAAAGGTCAACTAGATCCTCTCTAATAAAAGCATCGAATGTATCTCTATCCGTAGATACGGTAGTTTTCGGCTGTGTGCGTTGCTTTAACCGCTTAAGTGGTGTTACCGTGGACTGTACAACAGCAGGAGCAGCAGGAATAGAGACCTCCTCCGGAAGGACGAAGTCCTTGTACTCACTCTCCTATACCTGCTGTGCTCTGTCAATTGCAGCGGCATGCTACTTAGTTGGCCAGTTCTCTTCGAGGTAGGCCAGTCGTCTCAACGGATCGAGGAGAAGAGCGGCAGTATATACAGGTGCTTCGTCCGTTAAGGCATAGTATTTATCAAGAACAAACCAGCCCATGTTAGCGTGTGTTTGCGCTGATGGTACAGCGTTACCGCCAGCTCTTATCTATGCGGCAGACTCTAACAACATACAATCAACCTGGGTGGAGGATGTGAAGGTAGGAGAACATATGGCCTTCTTCGGAGTATCAGGTAGTGGCTGGTCGAACGATGGACTTGGTCTTGCCTGGCTTCAGCAGGTGTTTGAGCGCTTCACAGCACCGAAAGCTCGAAGAAAGTACTGCCTGTTGCTTGTGGATGGCCATGGGAGTCACCTGACGGAAGAGTTTCTAGAGTATTGCCACAGGCATAAGATACTATTGGGTATCTATCCACCTCACAGCACCCACACGCTGCAGCCGCTCGATGTGGTGATGTTTAAGCCTCTCAGCACAGCATACTCAAAGAAGCTGGCAACACGCCTTCACAAGCATTAAGGCTTAGTGCCTGTAACTAAGGCTGACTTCTTTGGCCTATTCTAGGACGCTTGGGCGAGCAGCTTTACCGCAAAGAACATCTTCAGCTCGTTCGAGGCAACTGGTGTACACCCCTTCAACCCCGATGTCATACGCGATCGCTTCACCAACGACGACTCAGACACCTCTAGCAACGCGTCAGAGGAAGCTCCTACATACGGCGGTGAGGCGTGGCAAAAACTAAACACGGTTATGAAACGTGCGTTGGGTGGTGCCTCAGAGAAGGATGCATCTATCGTTCGACAATCGCTCCACTATATGGCTATACAGAACACCCTCCTGCAGAGCGAAAATGAGGGTTTGCTTGACGCCCTTACTGTCAAGAAAAGGAGAGAGATAAAGGGCAAGCCTCTTGACCTGCTGCAACACTATGAGTACTGGGGTCCTTTAATGATGTGGACTCCTCGGTCATTTAGAGAAGCCAAAACCCGCATGAAGCTTGCAAGGGAGGAGAGAGAGGCAGAGGAGAAGAAAAAGGCTGACATGAAGGAGCTTGCTAAGGCTAACAAGCTATACAACGAAAAGATTGCGCAGGAGAAGCGTGATGCGCGCGCGAGGGAGAAGGAAGAGCACGACTGGCTGAAGGCTGAGAAGGCTAAGGAAGTTGCTGAACGCAAGGCAGAGAGAGAGCGCCAAAGGCAAGCTCGCGACCATCAGAAAACTATCCAAAAGCCGCCTACAGGCAAGCGCAAGGTTTCACAACAAGCAGCACCAAGGAAGAAGCAGAAACGTAGTACTAGAGATGATGTGGGTGGTGCCTCGTGCACGGCGCGTACCCCAACACCGCCACACCAAACCAACACTCGCGGCCGCAAAATCCTCCGGCCAAGAAAGTATTGGTGAGAAAGTTTGTCGCATAGGTCTATAGAGTACTCTGTTAAGTTGACTTATAATAACCACTTATGTGTGTGGCTCTACAGCCTCAATTTTGTGCAGTCCGTTTTGGTGATGCGCGTGCATTGACTGACGGCGTGCATTGTGTGCACGGACACGGTAGCTCCCGCACCTGCAAGGTAGAAATAGAGGATATAGGAGATAGCGACGCTTCAGAATAATACTTCTCTGTTGCCTGCAGTATAATAGTTTGTTGTAGTGTTGCGCAGGCGCTTTGGCGGCAGTTGCTGGCCCGCTCGGTGGGGTGGCCCGCTCGGTGGTGAACCACGTTATGTCTTATAAGCTAGCGGCCACCGAAGCTGGCCACCCACTGAAGCTGGCCACCCGTCCAGAACTTGGCCACCCACTCTACGCTCGTGATTTCTCTATAACTACGCAACCAAAATAGATCCCCGTGAAGCAGCAATTTAAGCAGCTATTAGCGACGTTGTTTCTGGTGTTTTTACTAGTTAACGAGCTGCTGCAAAGGCGTACAAGATCCCTCGAAGCACGCTTGCGGCCTGACTACGTGGTACACAGACACGTTAATCTAGCCACGAATACTAGCAGCGATTAACTCTACAACAAGAGGAATTTCTTGTACAATAGATCCTTAAAGAGGACGCACGCGCGTTTCCTCTATCTTATGCGCGCGCGAGAAATAGCGAATCAAATCCTAAGGATAAATAGTGACAACAATCCTGTGGGCAAGCGTTAGATATCCTTCTTTCTTAAGCGTAACCTACGCGTCGCATCTATTATTAGTAGAAAGATAGAAGGCTCGCGGGCTAAGGGCGCAATACAGGAACAGATACGCGCGTTTCTTGAGCTCTTTGAGAGGATTCGCGTACGACTAGGTATACGCACTAAGGATATGTAGAATATGGACGAGACTAGCAAGGCTATAGGGGTATGTGCAAAGACTAGAGTCCTCGCAGATAGCCGTAAGAGCAAGGCTTACAAGCAGTCGCTAGAGAATCGCGAGTAGGCATTAATAATCGAATGCGTGTTGGCTACGGGCAAGAAACTGCGCTGCGGGGTGATATTTAAGGGCAAGAACCTACAGAGTACTTGGTTTCCTGCGATAATACCTGACTGGCTTTATACAACCTCTAAGAACGGCTAGACATTAAATGCGATAGGCCTTAAATAGCTGCAACGGATATTTCTGCATAAGACGGCTCTATTAGACGATCGTTGGAGGATGCTAATTCTAGACGGCCACGGCAGCCACATTGATCTAGAATTCCTGTAGACCTGCAAGCAGAATAAAGTTCAGCTTCTGTTTCTACCTGCTTACTTATCTTATGTATTGCAGCCACTAGATCTCTTAGTTTTCTTAGTAGCGAAGAGATTCTACTAAAACTAGATCCAGGAACTATCGTATCTAGATAACGCAGCGCCTGTTAAAAAAGAACGCTTTATTACAGCCTACTATAACGCTAGAGAGGCTGCGATTACTAAAAGAGTAGTACGAGCTGGATAGGCTACTGTAGGCATCTGTCTATTAAACATTGAGCGGGTAGTTAACTCCTTACAGGTAGCTTAGAGGCCTGTTACGCTACTACCTGTACTATTTATTAAGAAGCTAGATAAAGGCCTCTAGTTCTGTGTTAATTACTAAGGACTAAATAACATCTTAGTAAAGGACTGCTACTTACTGCTTCTTATAAAGGAGAGCTTAAATAACTTAAAGGGAATAAAGTAACCTGTTTCACCAGCGAGCGGCCCACCCCACCGAGCGGCCCAGTTCCCCCACCAACACGCGTACCTAGCAACAACACGTAATGTCTCAACAACCACAACCTCTCAAGGCTTATACTGAAGCTGATGTGCAGCTTGCCCTCTTAGACGTTAAACGTAACCAAATTCCAAGCCTGCGGCGTGCGGAGGCAGTCTACAAAGTCCCAAAGACGACGATACGACGGCGACGCGACGGGAAGCCCTCTAGACGCGACTGCGAGCCAAACTCAAAGAGCCTGACGAAGCTAGAAGAGGAGGTGATTGTACAACGTATACTTGATGAGAATCTGCGTGGAGTACCGCCCTCGAAGCTACACGTACGAGATATGGCTGATAGATTGCTGCGCGATCGCGGCGTCAAGTCTGTTGGCAAGAACTGGGTTGACAGGTTTATCCAGCGTACACCTGAGCTGCGCACGCGCTGGAGCCGTCCATACGATCGCCAGCGAGCTCTCTGCGAGGACCCAGCAATCATTGAGCCCTGGTTCATGCTGGTTCAGAACATGAAGGCGAAGTACGGCATTATAGACAACGACATGTACAACTTTGACGAGTCTGGCTTCCTGATGGGCAAGATATCGTCGCAACTCGTAGTGACAGGCATAGACAAGCCTGGGAAAGCAAAGAAGCTTCAGCCTAGTGATCGCGAGTAGACTACGTTGATACAGGGCGTCAGCGCAATAGGGCGCGTTATCCCACCCTTCCTCATCTTTGCCAGCAAGGTTCTTATCTCTAACTGGTTCACTGAGGACCTCCCACGCAACTGGGTTATTCAAGTAAGCCCAACAGGCTGGACAAACAACGATCTAGCGCTTGCTTGGCTTGAACACTTTGATACGCATGCGAGGCCTGTAGGAGCGTACAGGCTGCTTATTATTAACGGCCACGAGAGCCATTGCTCAATAGATTTTCAGGATCGCTGCAAGGAGAAGAAGATTATCGCCCTCTGTATGCCTCCACATTCGTCGCACCTCCTGCAGCCGCTTGACGTTGCCTGCTTCTCGCCGTTGAAGCGCGCGTACGGCGATGAGATCTCAGCCTTGGCACGCGATCGCATCCACCACAT